CCACATGTTTGACAGGATGACGAGATTTGTGATGTAGTGTAGCAGAAAGAAAGCCAATGTATGTGATGGAACATGGCAGAGAAACTATCCTCTGTGGTGGAAAATGATAGAAAAACTATTCTGTGTGATGGATGATGATAGAAAATTATCCTGCATGATAGAAAGCGATAGAAATAGTATCCTGTGACAGGAAAACCATTCTGTGTGATGCAGCATGATAGACAACCCATCCTGTGTTTTAATATGGCAAAAAAAAATTGTGCAATGTAGTGTGACACAGATACAAAACTTGTGATAGAGAATCACAGGTAATCCATTCTTCGTGATAGTGTATTGACAAAAAAAGAATCGTATGATGGCGTACAAGAGTACCATCATACCATGAACCAAGGTTTCTGGTTCATGGTATGAATTTAGTCATCCTTCTCTGTGTATTTCCCACCGCATTTACGTACATCCTATATGATGGAGATTAGAACTGGGAGGTATATATGGTCACAGACCAGGGGGCGGGGGCGTTGACCCCCTGAAATGCTCTCCAGGTATAATCTAACTGTACCAATGATAAACTTTGTAAGTTTATTTAGGTACAGCGACACATAAATACAGTTACATAAATTATCATTCAGCTCCTGCACCCAACATCTCGCTCCTGGGGGATTTCAACTTAAGGCACCTAAAATGGAGGAATATAGCAAATAATATTGTTGCAGTAATAACACCAGGAGGCAGCTCTGATGAAAACTCACACTCACACGAGCTTTTAAATCTCTGCACAAAATTCAATTTAAACCAGCAAATAATAGAGCCTACTAGACTGGAGAATACACTAGACCTCATCTTCACTAACAATGATGATCTGATAAGAAATGTCACCATATCAAAAACACTATACTCAGATCACACATAATTGAGGTCAGACATGTATGCGTGGAGCCCCAGAACCGCATTTATGAGACTAAATATCCCCACGAGGTGACCATTCACCAAATACACTTCAATAACAAAAAACATAAGTGGGAACCAATCAACCAAGTCCTAACCGATAAAGCTGGGAAGATAATACTAAGCAACACAGAAACCCCAACTTATCCCTAGAACAGATTAACTTGGTGGCACTCATGATGCACAAGGCTTTTCCACTAAGAAAAAGGAGGAGTAGATGTAACATAGAAAGAGACAGGCTCACCCGTTACAGCGACGGAAAAGAATAACAAGCGGCTAAGAAGAGTCAATATATCTAAATGCGTAGGGAGACACTGGTCAGAGAAATAGCAAGCATCGACTTAAGCTAAGAATCATATAGGAGTCAGGAATCGCGGGGAAGAGTCTACTAAGCCATAAATGAAATCGAAAGAAGACCCAAATATTGCTTCTCCTATTGCCAAATCACAGGTCGAGAACAACGTCCGGGGGGGCAGTATTGGCCCCCTACTTAAAACCAAGATGGGTCCTACACAGATGACAGCAAGGAAATGAGTGAGCTACATATGTCCCAATAAACTCAGCTTTTTTAGCAAGCCGCTAACCAGACTGAAGAGTCGAAGATCGAATGAATTTTTTATGAGAGAGCCACAAAATTTGATTAACAACAAGCCTTATCCGATTATCCTGACGCCAAATGACTCGAACAGGCGATAAGACATGCCCATGCAACACTGTCTGCCCAGGGCCGACTCATGAAACTCCGTGTTCATCAAGGAACTCAGCAAGAAGTCCCCTATCACGAGCCTTTTCCATCCTATGGAGAGGGAGCATGGACACAGTCGTCCCACAGTTCAAAAAACACAGATCATAGACCCCACTCCAACAAAAAGGGGCAGTAAAGCAACAGCAAAGAAACTATACAGACCGAGACACTAACATCTCCATATCATAAAAATCTTTGGAAAGGGTCCTAAGAAGCAAGATCACCACCCACTAGAAACCCATCAGTTACACAACCCAGTGCAACATGGGTTTTTAGAAACAGGTCGCACCTGTCTGTCCTCACTATTGGCTCACTACTACAAGGACCTAAATTCACTAGAAGACAAAAAGAATGCAGAAGTAATATATACAGACTTTGCCAAGCTTCGACAAGTGAGACATGGCGTAATAGCGCTACCAAATGCCGTGCTAAAGGAATGACAGGAAAAGTCGGTCGATGGATTTTTACTATATTTCCTCACTAACATACACAGAGAGTAGTCGTCAACAGAGTCAAGTCCGAGGCAGCTACGGCAAAAGCTCTGTCCACAGCAAGGCACGTACTCGCGTCACCATCGACCCCTCAAGGAAGGTTCCATGATGTTGGTGAGGCACCTTCATGATTTAGGGAATTGGATCTGTTCTCTCCATTTCCTCCGAAGTAAGCCTGAATGCCTTCCACATCCCCCCCCCCCCCAGCGCTCTATAATCCTTCATCGGGTTTAGCGCTTCCCCCTTGTTTATAATATTAATAATCGTCTCGCTCGCCATCTTGTTCCTCATCCTCATATCCGACATAGACAAGGATGACAGCCACAGCAACCGTGTCTTCCCTTTGCAGATGGACACCCGAATCTGCATGACAGGGTCACCCATTGCAGACACTGCAAGGCTCCCGGCGACCATCAACCAAATCTTTCAGTGGCTGCAGAAAACAATATGAATTTCAACGATGAGAAAATTTCAATTACCAATATGGAAAACACAGGAAATTAAATCTTCATCAGAGTACAAAACAAATTCTGGCCACAAAATAGAGCTAAACACCAACTAAAAATCACCTGGGAAGTGATCATGTCGAGGATCTCACCTTCAAGGACCATACCATTGTATCAATCGCATCTGCTAGAAAAATGACAGATGGCTATGAGAACCTTCAAAACTAGAGGCCCAAGCCCAAGATGACACTCTTCAGTCACTTGTTCTATCTAGGCTGGAATATTGCTGCACACTAACAGCACCTTTCAAGGCAGGTGAAATTGCCTGACCCTAGAAAATGTACAGAGAACCTTCACGGCGCGCATAACGGAGAATAAAACACTACCTCAATTACTGGGAGCGCTTGAGGTTCCTGAACCTGTATTCCCTGGAAACTCAGGCGGGAGAATACATGATTATATAACACCTGGAAAATTCCTAGAGGGACTAGTACCGAATCTTGCACACGAAAAATCACTCACTACGAAAGCCAAAAAGACTTGGCAGACGATGCAAACATCCCCCCAATGAAAAGCATGGGTGACACTAGCCGTTAAGAGACCATACAAGAAGTGTCAGGGGGCTCGAGACTGTTTCAACTGCCTCCCAGCATACATATGGAGATTACCAACAGACCCCTGGCAGTCTCAAGCTGGCACTGGACAAGCACCTAAGTCGGTTCCTGACCAGGCCGGGCTGGGCTCGTAACGTTGGTTTGCGAGCAAGCCAGCAGCAACAGCTGGTTGATCCGGCTCTGAGCCACCCAGAGGCCTGGTCCAGAGACCCGGTCCACGCGGGGGCTTGACCCCCGGAACTCTCTCCATAAACACTGTGTAAAAGTCTATGCCCATAAAGGGCCCCACAATATGAATTCCCATTACCAGAAGAGACTAAAGTAACCCTGCTGAAAATCAATTTAAGACCTTCTCTAAGCCACTTAATCACCCTAGACTAAATGCTAAATACTCAGTACACACTTACTCGCTTACGTTATTCCCACATCATAACTTCAACAATTACTTTGAACCTTTTACCCATTGTTGACAGGAATATAATCGAATCATTGTTTTCACAAAAGCATTTTTTGAATATATGAATATATCTTTAGTCTTATATAAATTAGATTCACTTATAATTAATAATCTACTGTACAACTATGACATAATTCTATGAACCATTTATCTACAATAATCCTTAGTGTTAAGTGGTCTCTCAGCCAATAATGTTAAGTTGGCCCATAATGCCCAAGCATAATAGAGGCTCTCTTTGCATTGCAACCCATTATTGTAAATATAAAATCTCAATGTACTGTTTGCAAAGACATAAATAAATAAATAAAATAAAATAAAACTTGTATTAGTTGGTACACTAGAGAAGAGTATCGGACACAGTGAAAACAAAAACAGTCATGGCGTGGAGACCCACTTTAATTTTCACTATTTTTTCCACTATTTTAACACAATCTCTTGCTAAGGTGAGCATTGCCCAATAAATTTGTCATCTAATACACTCAATGCCTGTATTGCACCGCATAATATGTCGTTATAGACGAGATGTGAAGGTAAATTTGCTTGCATTATGCCAGGGTGGAAGAGGAGTGAAGTAGCCACAGTACTGATTATTGACCTAAAAAATTTTAAATTAATGTGTGTGTGTACTCTATTACCTTCAACCAAGGTGATTTGATGCTAGTGAAGGGCTCTTGATCCAAGCAGTTGAAGCTCCCCCCTCCCCCCTCTCATGAATTGAAATAAGTCACTTCGACTTTTTTTTTGGGTCATCCTGGGTAATTTACACTATGTATGATAATTGTACTTAAGTGTACCTGTGACTAAATAAACTTACTTGCCTCTCATTTCCCAGGCCATGTACAACTCCAGCGGGTTTAGCACTCCTCCATATAATAATAATCGGCAGTATATTACATTAGGGGTCGGGGTAACAACTGGGTGGCATCATTGGTTATAAAGAAATTTGTCACTATTATGATTCAAGCTCAGGAGCAAATGTAATCCCATCTGCTTTGCTGTACTAATATGCAAAGTTTCAGAGGTTAATGTAATTTTTTAAAGTTCATAGCAAATGTAAAGTTTCAAAGATTTATGAGCTAGTGGAAATCAATATTAGTAAAAATATTAAAACTTTGTATTTTTTTCAGTGTTCTAATGACTTACCGGTTTAATTTTTCTGAATAAATGATAATAATAAAATAATGCATTTGCCTTTATTTCTAAGTGTAAAAGCGACTCTCAATTTGTGGAATTCTGAGGGACTCTTCCAAATGCAAATACAAATACTCTGAGAAATTACTGCATCCTCCATCTACATGACGATTATCACCTGGCGGGGATGAAGACTCTACTGTAAGTCCACAAGTTTTTAATTTATGTAGCATTATTTGTCCTCTAATTTAAAGTGTAATTGAAATTATAAACAGTAGTATAACAAATAGAACTCTATAATAAAGATAAAATATAATGGAGTGATAGGAGTAAATGAGGTTAAATAGGAAGTATATTGAGAGAGCTCGAGCTAAGGGAGTAGCAGTGATATTAATGATCAACTAGGTGGAAAAGAAGAGGGGTGTAAACGTTTAAATTCAAGAATTTTGTGGGTTAGACTAGAAGTTGAATGTGGGAAATAGGTTATAGTACTTGTTTATGCACCAAGGGGTAAGTGTAATATAGAAGAGAGAGAGATTTTCTTTGGAGATATTAAGTAAATGTTTAGGAAGTTTTGAATGAAGTGAGAGAATAGTTACCATGGGTGACCTAAATGCTAAAGTGGGAGAGACTGCTATAGGGGATGCAGTAGGTATATGCAAATTGCCACCAATATATGAAAAGGAGACCTCTAATTGAATTATGTATTCAAAGAAGTTTGGTAATAGATAATACATAATTTGAGTAAAAGAAAAGTTTATGAGATGTGCAATTCATATTTTTTTTCTGGAAGTGCTGTCTACTCTCTGTTTGTGCTTTTCAGCTGTATTTACCTGTATCTGATGCATTGGAGTGGGATGTGTGTGATGAGACAGAGCCCCCACCAGCAAGTCTTGACATAGAAAACAGATATATTTTTGTGTCCTCAGAAAACAACTGTTCTGCATTGGAGAGAGCCAGCCGAATCCAGGTACAATGCAAATTGTGTGAAATAGGTTGGGTTGGGATTGTGTTTATTAACTCAGTGTGTATTTGAGAAACATGAAAAAGTGAACATATACAAAAACAAAGTTAAAGGGAGTTTATGTTGAATCATAAGTCCACATAAGATATTTAATTTTTTTTAAAACTGGCTTCAATTCATTGTCTATTATGAGATTACTTTAGTGGTCATTTAAACATGAAATGTTTACTTTTAACACCATTTACCTTGGAATATTCTCTTACATATTGTACCAAAATAAATTATCAAGTTGAGCTAATTCAGCTTCATCATCATATTGCAAGAGTAACAGGTTATAATTTATTCATTAACTGTGTTAGAAGATAGTGATGATAGTTAATGAAGTAGGTTATTTTATATAAAGGAATAAACTGGGAGGTGGAGAAGTTTATACACATATATATGTAGGTTTTGCTATGTATTTTTATAATACTGTACTGTATTTCAGAGCCTGGGTGGAGCTGGCACCTTGATTGTAAAAGAAAAACTACATGCTCCTAAACAAAATAACACAGACTACAATTTTACTCTTGCCTTTATTCAGAACTCCAGTTATGTCAAGATCATGGTGAGTTGTATATTGTTGGCAAAAGTATTTTTCACATTAATTTTGATGATTCTCAGGAATATCAGTAAGAGCTAGTTACTGATTGGTTGAATATTTTTTTCAAATGCATAGTATCATTAAAATTCAAGTTGCCATATTAATCATTATGTGGAGGTTTGTTGTGAATGTATATTAACCTTTTGTCATGAATATATCAGCAGCTATACTTTCCGAGTTTGCTGTAAGACTGAGGTGATCTTTCCTTTTTTTAGTTTACATTAACTGCCTTTATTTAAGGATTGGTAATTGATGTTGACCAGACTGTCCAAAATGTCACCATCAGACTGTCATCTTTTGTATACTCTGAGCCTTATATAACTGCTTGAACACAGTTTTACAATTGTGTGGGGGTTGGCGCTATGTGATATCATCGACCTGCACATGATTGGCTGGGAGAGTGTAAGAACAGATGAAATGAGACTGCTTTTAAAAATGGATAATGGTACATGTGTGGCAGAACATGTTAAGAATGCTGGCATGAGAGAAATACTATGATGTGTGCTCTGTATTCTTAAGCATAATTACTTTTACTTTGAATCAGGGTGTGTAAAGGTAGAAAGTTGAAAGTGAACATAGATAAGAGTAAGGTGATGAAGGTATCAAATGATTTAGATAAAGAAAAATTGGATATCACATTGGAGAGAGAGAGTATGGAAGAAGTGAATGTATTTACATATTTAGGAGTTGATGTGTCAGCGGATGGGTTTATGAAGGATGAGGTTAACCATAGAATTGATGAAGGAAAAAAGGTGAGTGGTGCATTGAGGTATATGTGGGGACAAAAAAAACATTATCTACGGAAGCAAAGAAGGGAATGTATGAAAGTATAGTGGTGCCAACACTCTTATATGGGTGTGAAGCTTGGGTTGTAAATGCTGCAGCGAGGAGGCGGTTGGAGGCAGTGGAGATGTCCTGTTAAGGACAGAAAATTTGGAGTGTGGAAATTAGGAGAAGGTGTGGAGTTAATAAAAGTGTTAGTCAGAGGGCTGAAGAGGGGTTGTTGAGGTGGTTTGGTCATTTAGAGAGAATGGATCAAAGTAGAATGACATGGAGAGCATATAAATCTGTAGGGGAAGGAGGGCGGGGTGGGGGTCATCCTCAAAAAGGTTGAAGGGAGGGGTAAAGGAGGTTTTGTGGGCGAGGGGCTTGGACTTCCAGCAAGCGTGTGTGAGTGTGTTAGTTAGGAGTGAATGGAGACAATTGGTTTTTGGGATCTGACGAGCTGTTGGAGTGTGAGTAGGGTAATATTTAGTGAAGAGATTCAGGGGAAACTGGTTATTTTTATGTAGTCGCACTTGAATACTGGAAGTGGGAAGTACAATGCCTGCACTTTAAAGGAGGGGTTTGGGATATTGGCAGTTTGGAGGGATATGTTATATATGCTTCTAAACTGTTGTATCTGGGCACCTCTGCAAAAACAATGATTACGTATGAGTGAGGTGAAAGTGTTGAATGATGTTGATAGTATTTTCTTTTTGGGGATTTTCTTTCTTTTTGGGTCACCCTGCCTTGGTGGGAGATGGCCAACTTGTTGAAAAAAAAAACTACTTTTACCTCTTAGAAACTTAAGAAATAAGTGCATATGCATTTAGAAATTTAGTAATCACTTACATGATAAGAAACCACATTGTGATGTACAGTATTAGCTTATGTATATTCATAGAGTGTGTAGTTTAGATAACTTATGTCATAGTAACAAGGTATTCAGACATAATAGTACTGTACTGTATTTTTTTTTTTTAACAAGTCGGCCGTCTCCCACCGAGGCAGGGTGACCCAAAAAGAAAGAAAATACCCAAAAAGAAAATACTTTCATCATCATTCAACACTTTCACCTCACTCACACATAATTGCTGTTTTTGCAGAGGTGCTCAGAACACAACAATTTAGAAGCATATACGTATAAAGATACACAACATATCCCTCCAAACTGCTAATATCCCGAAACCCCTCCTTTAGAGTGCAGGCATTGTACTTCCTATTTTCCATTTGTGTTTTATACTGGCTTATAATGCATTCATTATATTTTGCATTATGTAGATTCTCCATTTTGATTCTTCAGGATGGTGGGGAGAATGTCACAGTTGGCCTTTATTCTCCAGAGGACTCCCTCTTGCCCTTAAGCCTCGTCATCATTTGGTTCTTGGCTGTCTTCTCTGTTGGTGTTGGTGCCTTCTGGTCCGGGAAGGTGCGACACAAGTTGTAAGTATCTTAATTGACTTTGAATCATAGTACCAGCGAATGTTATCCTAGTACGGTACATACATTATATATATTATTTTGCATTGAGGAGGTGGCTAGAGGCAGTGGAGGTGTTGTGTGTGTGAGAGCAATGGGTGGCATGAATATCATGTATATATATAGTGCTGAAAGGTAGTCACATCAAGTGCTGAAAGACAGTCACATCAAGTGCTGGACAAAGGTGAAGTCAGGTGTAGGTGCAGTGCCTGGCCACACAGGTCAGGCAAAATTTGGTGAGGTCTAAGCCAAAGGTTCAGGTTTTGGTAATCTGTGCTTCCTGTGTTGTTTCAAAATTGTTTTTTGCCATAGGTTTTGGATACTCCACATAAATCACATAAACTTCTGCTTCAGTTTTGATAGTCCTGGCTGACCTCTTTTTAAACTAAGTTTCTAATAGTAGACAGAGCTAGTGATCATATTTATTTTGTAATTAATGAGTTCATAGATAATGTTACAAACTGGTAGACTAATATGCCTAACTAATGACCGTTCGTGCTTGGCCATGCTGATGATGATGTGGGCATGTGTCTTGCAGTCTGAGATAAAGTGAGTAGGAAACTGAAGGTGTGTGAATACCTGGGTAATATAGTCACATTCCTCTTCAAGGAACTGTGGGCTGGAAATTCTGTATGCTCTGAGGAAGAACCTAGCAGCAATGCTTAATTGAAGAAATGTTTGAGGTGTTAATACATGTCTTGTTTTATAAGTTCTTTGTATTGAGATATGATACCTAGAACTTGTACTGATTGAACTAGGGTGAATGTGTTTTCTTCTTTGAAAATACAATTTGAACAACTAAATTAAACATTTAAGGCTCAAAATGTAGTACAAGCACATACAGGACATTGCTAATACTGTAATTGATAGTATAAGGTGTATAATCAGCCAGGTTTTGGTTTTGGCTTGTTGGCTGCAAATAGCAATAATCTAAATGATTAGGTATTTCTGGGAATCACAAACTCAAGTCAGGTTGCAGAATTTGATGTACTGAAGTCAGCTGCTAGTAATTGGCTGAGCTAATTTAATGTATTATAACAAATGTTACACTAAATCACCTTTGGGAGGACTCATTAATCACCATTCTGAGGTTTATCATACCTTCTCCTTAGTTTCATATTTGCTTTTTTCAATCATTCATATCATAACACTAATCTGCATAAAATAAATATGTGATCTAAAAATCATTCATATCATAACACTAATCTGCATAAAATAAATATGTGATCTAAAAATCTATTACAACTTCCCACATTAATTATTTTGGGCATTTTTGGTTTGTATATATCTGTTATCCTCAAAGCTTAAGTAATGCTCTTTTTTTATTATTTGTAGCATTATAGGTGGATTTTTCCTTATGCTTTTTGAATACCGCATACTCCCCAAATGTATTCAATTATGCAACCTGTCCTCATTGATCCCTCCACTTGCCACAGATGCAGCCACAACTAAATCCCTCTTAAATTATCCTCATATTAATTTAAATAATACCCCTCTCTAATCTTTGAGATATTTGAGTGAGCAGTGTGGACATGTGGGTGAAGATAATCCAATGACTTGTCGCGAGCCTGCCTTGCCACATGAAGAAACATCCCTGAATCATCTGCCAAGAGCATCATGGTTTTGTGGTGCTGATGTGTACCATGCTGCTCAGTCTCTACTTCTTTTATCATATCCTGGGTAAGTCTTCGTGACTTTACTCTCCCTCCTAATAACATTTATTTGTTTACATGTATGCAATGCGATCACAGTGAACAGGTGATATCACACACTGCAAAAATAACTACTTGAAATTTACTAATATTTTCATGGTTTATTTTGCAATTTACAAGTGTGTGTGAGAGATTACCTGTTTAAGATTACTATTCTTTTTTTGATTACCAATTTGTTATACAGGAGCAAGAGCTATTTTTATTGGTGTACTGTCCACACCATTATTTTATTATTTGGTTTTTCTTTCCATGGTTGTACACTTGCTACTGATCCTCTTTGAACTAGTATTCTGCATTATTTTTTTTTTTTGTATGTTAAACTTGATGTGGTTATTATTTACAGTATATAATATATATATATATAATATATTTTTAAGAATATATATAATTATTTTTATATAATTAGATATAATAAATATAATAATAAAACGTAAATATATTTATAAATATTAATAATATATAATATATATTATATTTAGTAATTATATAAATATAATTTATTTTATTTTTAATAAATAGTATAATTATAAAAATATATTAATTGTAAAATATTAAATTTCTAATATTAAATAGATTAATGATAATATTTTTAAAATATATAGTATATATATATAATATATATAATATATAATTATATCTAATTTATATAAAATTAAGTAAATATATAGTTATAATAATAATTAAGTAAATAATTTAATATATAAGATAATAATAGATATATAATGAATTAAAATTATTAATATAAATAATTAAATAAATTAATAAATTATAAATAATTAACATATATAATAATAACTACAACACTCACTAATCACACCTAATCTCAAACACAGCACCACCCCATCACAACCACGAGACACACCCACCAGACACAAGCCACCAACCCATCCAAACCACACCATCCAACAGACCAACAACCACCCCTACCATACATTCACCCCCTTCCACACAGACCACCAACACCACTACACCCCACCTCACACCCAAACATCCACACACACCACACCCACACCCCTTAGAACCCCACCACACCACAATACACCAACCAACAACCAAACAGCACAACAATACCACACACAAACCGACACCACACAAACCAACACACAACACCCCCACCCACCACACGAACACACACACACACAACACCACACACACACACACACACACACACAACACTCCCACACACCACACACACACACACAACACACACACCTACACAACCACACACACACAAACACACACACACACGCACGACACCCACACACACACACACACACACACAACACACACACACAACACACACACACAACACACACACACACACACACACACACACACACACACACACACCACGACACACACCACCACACACGCACACCACACAACCCACACACACACGACACACTACACACACACAACACACCACCCACACACACACACACACACACTACACAACACACACACACCACAAAAAAAAAAACCCCCTAATTACGACACCCCCCTCGGCCGTAGCTCCCCCCCCTCCCTCCCCACCCCCCCCCTCCACACCAAACCACCACCAACCCCCCAAACCCACACACCCCCCTACACCCTTCAATAGCATCGGATCACCTCCACCCCCAGAAACTCCCTCCACACCGAAACCCGCACCACAACCACACCCACCCCCTGTCCCCACACCCAAAACCCCTCCTATCACGTGCATGCCTAGAGAACTTATCCATTTCCATGACTCCCGTCCGGCCTAAATCCCCACCCACTGGTTTCCCAGAAACCATCACTAAAACAACCCCTCACCCACACTCCCCCAGAACGTCTTACCCAATAATCATACTACACTTCACTCCTCACCAAACCCGTCACCAGCGACATCTTGCTTGAAGTACAAATGCCCCACCCCACAAACCTCCTTTACGCCCACAAACCAACCATACGAGGACGACCCCATACCCTCAATCCTTCCCCTCACGAATTATATCTATCCATGTCATCTACTTGATCCATACTCTTCACGACCAAACCACCTCACAACCCCTCATCTCCCTCTGACTAAATGCAATTAAATAACACCAGGCACCTTTCTCCTAAATTCCCACGACCGAAATTACTGC